TACCAAGTTTCTTTCAAACTAAAAGACACCGGATTTAGAAAATCTGGTACATGGATTGAATTTGAACAGTTGAATATAGAAGATCCAGTAATAGCAATTTTTCCATGTAAGAAATAATAAGATCACACAATGTGTTTGTGTTTTTTTGTGATAATAAAAATTGTCCATTTTAAATGTACTTTATGTCCAGTTTCATTATTCAATTTTAAAATCATGATTCAGTTAGTAACAGATTTAATGTTACTCGAGGATAGATGTTTTGATCGAACCTACAATTTAAGCAGACCTATCCTATGTCTTGAAGGGTGATTCACAAAAGTAAAGGGCATGCCTTTTCAATTTCTTGTATTTTTTCATTGCCGTTGTCTTGCATTTTTGTATATACAAGAACTGCCTTAACTGGTTTATTTTCTGTAGATCGAGAGTGTATTATACATTTAACATTATAACATTTGTCGAATGATTTTTTCTGTATGATATGTAATACCATGGCCATGACCTTCTTTTTCTGTAAGGGTATTACTTTTTATTGTTAGATGCTGCATTTTATGATTCTCGTCATAAGCTTATTATTTTGTATTTTAAAGGGCTATTGTTTGTATTTTATTTGTTCAGTATGGTGTTCTCGTATGTAGGTAGCTATATATTATAGCTGATGCTAATGGTCTATTTTCAATATCATATACTTGTCTTTGTTAAAAGTCTTTTGCTTTAAAATGTATTTTTCTTTTAATTAATTTTGATGTTCCCTGGAAGGTCACCAGTAAGCATATGGACTTGCAACGTCAAAAAGCTGGGTTCGATTCCTTATGGTGGACACAGCAGATAGCCGAATGTGACTTTGCTCTAAAACAAACAATAAAATCTATTTTGATTACATCATTTTAAAGGATTCATTTAAATTTGCTTTTTGTAAGGTTTCATTTTACATCTATCTTTCGAACTGCATTAATCATGAAGGATGATTTTAATTGTACCATTTTTTCTTTTCTATTTCAGTCTACAAAGCTACACTGTTTTGTGTACCAAAATTTCAAGACAATTTCAGAGTTACACACTTTTAGAGCACTTATAGACTTTCACATACAGGAAATCTACCTAATGTAGTGCTGATCATATTCCACGCGCTAGTTACACACACTAAAGGATTGTATCCTACTTTGGTATTTGCGGACATTTCTTATGGGAAGTAGAGGTGGAGATATATTTTTGGTTTTATGGTAACACTCTCGTGTTTAACTTTAGAAATACATGAAGATTAAGCTCTCCCTAACCTCCTAGAGATAATAATGACACCGCATTGACATGGGAAGTTCGTGCACTCTGAGAGGGATATATTGTTTCTGTGTATATAACGCTATGTTCTCTCAGTCTAAAACAGACTTCTATTCAGATTTTCGAACATAATGTAGTAGTACTACCTACGTTTTGACATAACCTGGCATTTTGTAGTTAATGTGATCTACCAAATCGGATTGCTTTTTGGAAATGTATATAACAACCTATTGATATATTCAGATCATAAAGATATGTTGAGATAGGAGATTTAATATTTCTAAGATGGGGATATCATCTATACTTAATAGCATTGGAAAACAAAAAAATGTGGATCAAATTCGGAGACCAGGCCACCCAGAAAAAGATTTGCAATAAGTCATGCTCCAGTCATGGTAAGTAAAGTGTGGTGTCTTGTAACAGATGATGTGTATGTCATTGGTAAAAGCTGTCCAATCGCCTTTGTTAATTGTTAACAGTATGCAACATAATCAAGAGATATTAGCTCCGTGATAATTTGTAGATTGTTTTGAGCAGTACTAACTCTCGTATTCTATATTGATGATAATACTTTTTAAAATAGAAGCAATAATATAAGCTGTAAAATATATACACGTCATTAAATAAGAAACAGCTCTTAAAGTTTTTAGGCTTATTTATTCTAGTCTTTAATCTCAAATCTAAGTTTTAAATACAAATATATTTCTAACTAACAATCTAGTATTCTCTATATAGGCTATGTTACATTTTGTTTTGTTTTCCTGAAACCTGCAGCGTTTTATAAAATCGTGGTCCAATTGTAATCATGCAACGACAATGATAGCTGAAATACATCTTTTGTCAGTTAACAGAGAACGTACTTTGAACCGTACAAATTTAAGATTTTAATGTTATATCTTTTCGCACAATAGTTCTATTATCTTTACTGTGGTGATGAGATACTTAGACAAGAAAACCAGAATTAAATATATGAAACAATATTTATAAATTTAACAAGACTGTACTAATTAGAAATTATACATATATACATAGATGATTTCACAGAAATCTATTTTGATGTTAGTTAAAGTGAATCTACACTGAGTGGTCACAAGTAAATAGACACCCCCTTTTCAGTCATATTCACATGAATTGGTATATTTATAATTTAATG